CTAAGTGCCTGAGTTCTTAACAGTTGCTGCAATTAACGCGAAGGAGTGTTCGCAGAAAATTGCCTAATTGTGTAAGGTCAAAAGAGATCCTTGATGTCTGTCTTTGTTTAAGTAAGTTTACATTTAAAAGGCAAATGTTCACTCCCTCTGGCGTGATATTTGGGATTTTAGCCTTGGCAGACCATTTACATGCACAAAAACCTAAAACACTACAGGAAAGGGAAAACCCCAAAAAGCAGAATAGGGCCCTTTAAACTTACTTTTAAAAGGGTATCATGACGGTGGTTATCAATTTGTAGTGAACACAAGGCTCTGTGCATTTTTCCACAAAAAAGGAGGCTTTTGGCACATTTCATTTCTAACTTATAAAATGGACCAATTGCGTACCAACTAATTCTGCCATTGTACAGACAAAACTAAAGAACTTTTGCTGCAAACAATGCGAAAAGGAATGATGGCAATAAATGACTATATGGTGTTAATCATAGGTTAAATATAGACTTGGTGTCACTTTGGTGACATTGAAGGGGCCCCTCAGAAGGAGTGTGGCCAGCAGCAGCTCAAGTTACATTTAAAGCTACGGACCCAGAATCAGCACTTTTGTAACAAGGCTGAAACAGAAGGGTATGAGGCATGGCTACACTGGATCTGTTTGGCATTTTGAGCAAAACACTTCAGAGACATGCTTTGTATAGATATGGCCCTATAATATATTGTTCAAATATAGCCCAATAAGTCCCAACATACCTCGCTAACCTACTCATCTTCTTGGTACACCCCTGTAGTTTAACCTCAACCTGCTGCAGTCTTTGTTTAACTAAGGTTTGACTTAAACTTGCTTTAAAGAATTGATGACAGTGGGTATCAACCTGCTTTGATAACACAGGTTTTCTTCCTCAGGCTCTGTGCGTGTTCCCATAAAAAAGGGAGCTTTTGGTGCAATATATTACCAAATTGTGAAAATCTGTAGTGCAAATGTAGACATGGTGTCCCTTTTGGGAAATATTGGCTTAAAGATCAACATAGCTTGCTAAACTACTAACTTAACTTCAAAGCACTTCCATCTGGTTTAACTTAAAAATGCTTCTCTTCTTGAACTTGAGTCAAACTAAGTTAAAGGTCTTTCAGTTCAGTCAGACACATTTATATTGGTTAGATTTTATTGATTTATCTTTAACAATGTATGTTCCTTTTAAAAGAACATAAAGTGATAAGTTTGCAAGTTACTGTATGTTGTGTATTTTAAAAGAGGATGCAAACACAGATCAATGGCACAGTCTGCAAGAGAGGCAGAGCGGCCATGTCTCCTACCATCTGCATCAATAGCATTGAGAGGAGGGGGAGGAAGTAGAACGGATGGGGAGACTTCCACTCAACCTGCAGAGCTCAACAGCATCAAGACAGCTTCCTGAAAATCATTTTCTACCCAAGAACACTACAGGATCGTAGTGACAAAGACAAAGACACGTCAGTGGTTTTAACTTTGAATGGAGTCCGAGGATATCAGAATCAGCAACAAATAACAAGATGACCGCTTTATAGTCCCATATCCTGAAGAGTTTAACAACTGAAAAATAGTTTCATTAAGACATACAAAACAATAATAACTCTAGGACCACCAACAGCATTACAGGTTGAAATCTTTTCTAGGGGCAGATGGATTTTGCTCAAGTATTTTTGCTTTTGCAGGTTCAACTTTACCACTCTCCTGAATTCTTATTACATACGCTGAAACAAAGATTCAGTATTGAATGCTATACACATTGAATACTTGAATAACTGTTATAAAGTTGTTGAAGTCCTGAGGATTGTTTAAAAGTAACAGACCTAAAGCTTGCAAAAGTTTCAGTTAGGTGTCAATAGCTGTTAGCCAGTAATATGATGTTGCATTCAGGGTAACACAGAACTCACATTCCCAGCCTCCTACTAGATAAAGTAAAATACAACTTCAATCAAAGTCTGAGTTTCTGTCAGAGATTATTCAGGCAGTGGGAACATAAAACAGAACAAATATATGACAAAGGTGAGGTTTACAAAATGTGTAATGCTAGTACAAAAACAGCTAACCAGGAAACTGAGGGTTAGGCTATATGTCCAAACATTGACAAAGGACTGAAATAGAAGAATGTGAGACACACAGGTATATAAAGACACCAAACTACTCACATGAAAAGACACAGCTGGAGTAGCTACCAAAAACACAGGGCAGCAGGGTGATTACACCCTGCATCAAATCAGGGCGAAGGGAACAATCCCCAAAAGGCGGGAAAACATACAAAGACAGGAAATGAAACCAGACATGACATGAGGATCCTATTTTGACAAAATAAAACAGGAAACAGAACAACAAAAGGCAATATCATGACAGTGTATTCTTGAAAACTGGAGGAATATCCATACCCTTCATTTCTTAGCAATTTGAACAATGGAAACACACATTGTAAATCAACTAAAAGGCAACGTAAAGTACATTCACCTGTATCCAATTCATATAATACATACGTAAAATAAAAAATGTATCGCAAAATATGTAGCCAAAGCAATTTTGCAGCCGGCTAAAGAAAACAATCCCTAAAATGTATCTACGCTGCTAAAGGGTTGATTAGGGCTAAGCTTGCCACTAAGGAAATTACAAGCCTGCACTGCTGAGACCTCGATTGTGTGTACAATTTCCAATGAAAAATGACTTTGGCACGGTCAGCCTTTTTCTTGTTCAAATTTGGCGACATGCACCTGGCCTACTTGGAGGTTTTTAAAAGTAATAACTGTCCTCTACTAGTAAAACAAATGTACTCCGAGTTTTCTGGAAGGCAGCACCACATACTGTATGGGTTTCAATCTCCCTGAGTATGTGATCTGAAAATGATGACTAACTACCTAATGGGAATGTAATCAGGATGCATGTATGCATGGCATAACCTCAGTATGGTGCATTACTGTCATTGAAAGAGTAATAACTAATATGTGAGTAATGGTTATTCATTAGCTGTGAGCTATTTGGAGGCTGAGTCAGAGTGAATGAGGAACAGCTGATAAAGAAGGTGTTCCTGCAGACTGAGGGTTTTACAAATACTAAGGTTATGAATTGTCCAACACAGCAATTCTATCTCACTATAACTTGGTCCGAATGCTTTTAAAGCACTTTCCACAGGGCAAGGATGGGACTCTGGTGCAGAGATAATACATCGCTTTAACCCTTAATCCTTTTAATGTTGTGTTTGGGATAATGGAGGCACTGAGACTCTTGACTTATAAGCTTAATACTCCATTACTTCTCCTGATTATATGACTGCTATACATGTTTCAGAAGTAGCAAAAGAAAATTAAACATCGATTTTGTATAAAGTCTCTGAAGTTGCACACAACAGGGATGTATAAGCTATAATTCCAGTTGCGTTATAAATGCAGCACCACTCTTCTCAAATCCAAGGTACGTCAGTTTGGGTTTATTTGATTGGACTCCTTTTTAAAAAGGCATGTTTTCCTTTATTTGGTGTTCTAACAATGCTTTATGGCCATTCCTGTTTTTTTCACAACCCCGTATTTGATTCCTTACTTTACATAGGGTTCTCTTGGGGGCATTGGAAATCAATAGTAGCTATAAATGTTGTTATACATTGATTTGAATGATCGTTATGTATATTGCATTTGAGTTGTTCCTAGAGTGCAAACTGGATCAGGAACCACAGCTTTAACTTACCGAGCTCCTATTCTTAGAACCAGTGTCCAGTTACTGTTAGGGAGGCAGAGAGCGTCCCCACATTTAAGAGCAGGCTAAAGACCTTCCTTTTCAATAAAGCGTGTAGTTAGGGCTGGCTTCAGGCTTCCCTAGAACATGCTCCTGGATCCTACATTTAAGGAAATTGATTTGATTTGTATTTATTTGATTTTCATGTTTCATTCTATCTTGTAATTTCATCATATTCTTGGCATATCTTTAATATGTATGTACATTGTCAATAATGCTTGTTGATGTGTGAAGCCAACTGAGACAAATGTGTTTTGTGACTTTGGGCTTTATAAATGAAATTGAATTTAAACAGATAAATCTCATTAAATACAAAAATAAAACAAACAAACAAATAAAAACATGTTAAAGCAAGGGTGCATTATATATTATACTGTAAGCCTATAACACATTTAAAACAATCAATAGAGAATCCAAAAATAAACTATTAAATATGGCTCTTAAATAATATAGTGAATTTAAACCATATTTCCCTATTAGATAGTATAAAGTGGCAACACATGGAATTACTTAAATACCCTTTATTGAACTTAAGTATAGTATTAATGCACAGTAAGTAATAATAGCTATTTAATAACTTCTAATTAATTATCATGTAATTGCTGTCCCTATGTCTTCCGACAGGTAGTGAGCTCCTGGTTTCTGAAGGTCAAACAGGATGCATGCGCAGTTTTGGGGTTTTTACAGATGGCACAACAACTTCCTGTCCAATGGCCTGCCACATAATAGAAGACAGTGTTTCCCGCAGCCCTGGTAGGCTACTTTGTTGCTCTGAACGCTAAACACCGCTAAGCACACACTAATCCGTGGTCGGTCCTTAATCTCCTGCACTCGCTGCGGACCGTGCCAACGTGGCCCTTTACTCATCATCATCGCTACAATCACTCCCGTGTTTGTTTGCGTAAATGCGCGGTAGTTCCAGCTGACCTGCTTCTTGCGCCCCCCCCCCCCCTTCTCTCCTCTCCCCGGTGGGCTCAGTGATACCTCATGGTGTTTGTGACATCTAGGGTTATTTGCCGCTCCATTGCAGTCTTTCTAGCGCAGAGACTTCACACCTCACTATCTACTCTCTCTCGGACAACTCCTGAATTATTAACAACACAAACTTTCTTTTTGGATATTCACCCCCCTTCCCCCCCCCCGGCTTGGATGTGCGTTTTAGGAGTCTCCAAAGAGAAGCAAGGGACATATTGTGTGTTTTCCCCGACAAGTAAGTACGGCACCGAGAGGATATAGAACAACGCCTGTGTCATATAGCAGCACTGTCTCTCCCTCTCTAAAGAAATACATACTGGAAATACATCCACGAGCCCTTCACAGCAGCCAGCTAGTTATTTTTACTTGAAGGAGGGAAACTACAAATATTCTGTGAAGCTCTTCGTCGCAGCTTGGCTCCCGGCGAAAAAAAAGCGCAGGTTTTTCAGAGCATTTGCTTACTGCTGGTGGTGGTGGGGCGTACACATTGTGAAGTGCGAAAGAAGAAGCGATATGTGGCTCGCTCGGCAGCTGGTTTCGCAGTTCGTCTCCTGGAATTAGTGGATGAATGGGAAGGGAGCGGCTGTAGCCTCGAACCGGGGAAAGAGAATACTCCGAGCAGAGCCTGCGGTGGCACACAATGGATACTTGTCCGTCTCTAAAGGTAAGGAATAACCTTTATTGGGTGGTGAGAGTTTCTGCTCAGATTTAAAACTAGTAGTTTCTCTATGTGTTGGACATGCAACATCTTTCCACAAGCTTTATTTTGCTGTTAACGCACAAACAGTAGTCTATGTTTATGGACTCGTTGCTTGCTCTATCTTGCAATTACAGGTAATCCGGAGAAAGTAACAATGCACAGTGCTATGAAGATTTTATTTATTTGCATTTTTGAAATGTACATAAGTGGGGAAAAGGTCGCAGCGTTGCAGGGGAATCAAGAAGAGAGCTTGGATAGTTGTGCCCGACGCATACTAATCCAGGGTGTGTATGAACGTGCGTGTTTCTTTGGAGGGGTGTGTGTGTGAGAAAGAGAGGGAGAAAGGAGGAGAGGAAGAGATTAGCCTACTCTTCCCAAAATGTTCCCTTGTGATCGCAGAAGCTTTATTAAAACTCATTTTAAGTTGTTTGTGCGCACGCGTGTGAGACAGCATCGGGTTATATTATGTGCTGATTTTTTTTTTAAACTAGCAGTCCCTATAGAATGTTTCATTTGTGTGTCTGGTTAAGGGATCGATGGCCGCCTCGAGGCATCATGGGAAGCAGTGTAAAGCAACCACCCGCTGTACTCACCACCCTCTTGTGGATTGCAAGTGTTAGCATGGCAGTGTGGAGGTAGAGAAGCCTGTTCAGCACCATGGACAGTGCAGAGAAGTATGGAACTGCAAGTAGGAGGGGAGGCTTTGACATCCACAATGGGGCATTTATCGACTTTTGAATGGCTGCTATGTTATGCTCCTTAAAGCGTCACTCTGTGAAGGATTTGTCTGAAAATAGGTGAGACTTTCAGATAAAAGCGCTGCATTTTACTGAAGAGTTTCTACTGTGTTTGAAAACAGAATAGTTCTGACTCACCGAAAAGAGCACTCTATACAGGATTTACCTCGTATTGTTGTTTAATTTATGTGAGTGGATCCCACTGCCAAGTCTTCAATGTCTGTGGATGGACCAACAATAGCTCATCTAAAAGAAGATTAAAGAGCCTCTCTAGTTTTGTCTTTACAGTATGATACACAGTTTATTCTTATGGGGTGTCACCCAATGAATTTGACTTCACTTCCTTAAATTATTACCTGCAAATACCTTTTTGGTCACTAGGGGGAAGAATATCAAAGTTGTAAACGAAGCATTGACATATGTCTTATAAGTTTATTTAGTGACCTTTTTAGCAAACTGTTTCTTATTTACAGTAACAGAGCCAAATGAATATTTACTTGGACTATCGTTCGTCCACCTGTTGAATGTACGTCCAGTTTTTTCTCTCTTTTTGTTCTATTTTGGCTCCTATCACCTCCTAAGGGAAATATTTCCTGATAATATAATGATTTTGAGAAGGCCACACCCAATTCAAACCTGACAAAAACACAAATAAACTAATCTCAAATAAAGTAATCATATTAAATAATCCAAACGTTTCTACATAAGAAAATTCTGTGCGGAGTGTGACCCAGTCACTCAAAATAATTCCAAAACCACATTTTCACGGCCTATACAGTTTTGAACAAGATCTATTATAAATCAAAGTTACACCACTGATAGTGCACATCTGTGATGAATAATTTCTTGCGCTTACTAAGAATGTAGTGCTCTGACTCTAATACTGATGGAGATGGGCTTTCAATAAGAGTTAGTTGACAGCCTCAGTGCTTCAGTATCAGAAACTAAGGGGCACTGTCGAGGTGTGTATTTTGAGAGTTTGAAATAAGACTGCCATTGAAATTGATCTGTTTTTGGCTCTAGAAATAATTAACATCGTTTTTAATTTCAGCTAAATCCTTCACCGCTATCACCTGTTGGTTGTTGGCTACATAGCAAGTAGTTTTGTTAGCATCACGTATTGTTACTCGAGGACGAGCTATGTAAATCATTATTATTGTGGTATTTAGTTTCTCTTCGCTAACAGTCACAACACAACCGTCAGCAGTGCCCATCTGATATGTTGATATCCCTGGCAGTTATTGTCTGTCAATGCTCGATGCCAGAATGACGCTTGAGGGTTAATGCCTTCTGTCGAGATGCTTGCTGAAATTGATAGGCCTGTCTTGACAGATGAGATAACCTGCGATCGCAAGCAAACGCAATTTACGGGTACAGGCAGATGGATGCTGAGGATGCACTCAGAAGTAGGCCAGATCTACCTTAAGGAGAGGCCTGCCTTAAAGGGCCTGCAAGGGAAATTATGAGAAGCGAGAGGTGGGAGGAATGGAAACCAGAGGACTGTTTTATTAAACGCCACACACAGTGAAATAATAAAGAAGGGATCAATCGCTCTTCATTTCTCATTCATTTCTCACACCGCTCCTCCGCTCCCTTCACTGGCTTCCGGTAACTGCTAGAATCCACTTCAAGACACTGGTACTTGCGTACCATGCTGCGAATGGATCTGGCCCTTCGTACATCCAGGACATGTTTAAACCGTACACCCCAGCACGTGCACTACGCTCTGCATCAGCCAAACGACTCGCTGCGCCCTCGCTGCGAAGGGGACCCAAGTTCCCATCAGCAAAAACACGTGGGTTTGCTGTCCTGGCTCCAAGATGGTGGAATGAGCTCCCCATTGACATCAGGACAGCAGATAGCTTGCACATCTTCCGGCGCAGACTGAAAACTTATCTCTTTCGACTCCACCTCGAGCGATAGAATTACTAACAAAGCACTTATATACTAATAAAGGACCGGCTTATCTAAAGCCAGTTGAGTAGCACTTGAAATGTTTTGGCTCTATGAAACCTGATGTACTTATATGACTCTGTTTTCTTCAAGTTTGTATCTTCTTGGTCGAATGCACTTGTTGTAAGTCGCTTTGGATAAAAGCGTCAGCTAAATGCAATGTAATGTAATTCGCATGGAATAGCTTTGATTGGAGGCAATTGAAGTTAAGCTGAAAAATTAAGTGGAAAATAATTTGGGATTTAGCCGTAAACCCTCTGTGGAATTTTCCCCTGCATGAGTCTCCAAGTCGAAGAAAAACCGGGGCTTGGTTCCTTTCCAGAAAACTCTCCCTCATGGCTCCATTCACTCACCAGCAGAACAAGCTATGTGCATGGAAAATAAATAAATAAATCTGAAACACAAGCAAGGAGGAGAGAACATGCAGGCAGTCAGATGTGTTTGATCTATTTGTAAAATAATGAATATACAGCACAGCGCTTCCTGGGAATGGAGCGCAGCTGCCGGGCATTTCCATGTGCTTCTGCACCTCAAATTGCCCGGCATCAGAGGGAACCATTTCCCTAATGAATTTAATCAGTGCTCCCGTTGTCACCGAGTTGATCTTTTGTTTGTGCGCCTGGTGACCACGGGCCAGCTGCTGTACTGCAGCATATGTGCAGAGTGAAGATGACACTTCATGCAGCGTTTAGAGGAATCAGCTGCTAGGACGGGGCCCCGGCTCCTGTTGAGGGTTGTGTTAGATAGTTGTGAGATGCAGCCCTAGAGAACTCCTTATTCTGCCTGTTTCTTCTTCTAACCAGGGCAGAACAACTACATTATCTTAGGTTAACTTGTTTATTACCCTAACCCTACATTGTTGGCATGTATAACCCCCTCTAGCTAAATACATTCTTACTTAATTAACAGCCATTGTGTCACAAATGGTCACAAACTCACTAAGGTTTTTATTGTTTATATTTTTGCATTTGGTAATTGTTTATAATATTATTACCTATTGTGAGTTTGGTCACGTAAATATGTGCGGTACTGATTAACAATCACCCATATAAGATGTGTGTGGGAGAGCGGGTGAACGGGTCGCTGTATTTTCTATTGACTGCAAACATGTTGTATGAATGTACACGTTATAATACATTTATCATTTTCATTAAATTAAGATTCTGTTCGAGGCATTTTTTAATCTTAGCATTCATTTTGTATCAATGCGCGTCAGACAAAGTCAACCCGGCCCGACCTCAGCCGCTCAGAGTGACTTGTTTTGTTCCTGAAGTCACTACACATTGTTTTGCTCTCATATTTGATCAATAAACCATAAAATCAAACTGTTGGACTTGAAATTTGCTTGAGCTAAAACAATTGTAGCTTTTGGTCAAACTTGGGTTGTTTTTGCAGGGTAATGCATGCAAGGGAAGTATCAATACTTTTGAAAAGTAATTCCAGACGGTGCATTCAAATGCTTGTTGAAAATTCTGATATCTGAGAGACGCTTGCATACCAACAATGCACCAATGAGCTATGCGTTCTGAAACCTATTAAATAATAAAAACAAGGCCTCAAGCATTGATGTTATGAAAAGGAATGGGTAGCTTTCAAGGAAGGCTGCAGTTCTCTGCCAAACTGCCTCTTTAGTCTCCAGTGTGGGACCTCGGAGCTTCCCACCAGCTGAGTGGGAACGGAATATCCCCTCAAGCCTTTTCAATACACTGTTTGCTTTCCACTTAATGTGCAATATCTCACAACAACACTATGAATTCAAACAGTGGTGGAAGAAATGTAGCAAAATGTGTGATCATCAAAATAAACCTAAAGTACTAGGGGTTTCCCCAGGCATGCATTTACACAGGTGAATCTGGTCAAGTCTTGCCTTTCTTCAAGTGATCTCAATTGAAGTTTGTTTCTTTTACTCATTGATTCCATGTTTAAGCTTGAACAAAGGCAACACAGCTGTTCGCAATACTACAAAGAGGCATAAATCCATTATTAAAAGTATTCTTTCATTTTGAAACAGTAGCCATATTCTCTTGTTATTAAGCATTTCTGAGGCTACGCTAAATGCTACTTTGGTGGTCCAGCTAATTTATTATTTATCCAAGCACACAACAGGCAGATTTATTAAAAGTAAATGTGTGATTTAAATGTTTATAGACAGTATTATAACTAGGCTTATATTTGTACCAAAGTGAACAGTTTTAGAGTGCACAAGAAGATGTACAGTAGTTGTCTGCAAATTCCTTACTAAGGGCGTGTTGAAAAGTAGAAAAACATGGTATT